TGTAATGCGAAAGGTGTTGCTTGTAGTGACAAACACCAGAATTATCAACTAGTCTTCAGTTCCCCTCGGCTCCACAGAGTTTTACCCTCTTTCAGCTTATTGTTTCGTTTTTCTCCGCCCTCAAACTGAGCTCTCAACAACCTAATTCCCAACAGCATGCAGCTGGTTTTAGTGAAATAACGGATAAAGCCACTTTTCACAAGACAGACACAGTCAGAGACTAGCTGGTGAACATAGTGGAGCATTTAGCAGCTGAAGTGGCTGATATTCCCTCAGGAGTTGAAAAACTGTGGTAAAAGAGAAGAGGATTGGACTTGCACTCATCAGGTGACACAAACATGACCTTAAATGAGCGATAATGTTGGTCTGTGTCTGCTGGATGTGTAAAAAGGCAACAATTTGCTCATATGTTAGTGGATGTGTTGCATGCCCGCAAGTGGCCACAAAATACCAGTTAGTGCAGCTTCAAAGAACTGAAATCAACTTCATTTGCATACCACATTTAAAAACAGAAGTACAAAGGCCTCTATCTTATCCCTTGTTAGCCAATCATGCTGATAAATGAATATGTCTATATGTGTATATATATGTATATATATATATATGTATGCAAAACTAAGACCCCTCTCTTTCTAACACTACAGTAACATGAGCCGCTAAGTGCAAAACCGTGGTGACACTGAGGAATCATCAGGACCTTCACCTCGCCTATTTTAGGATCAGTGAAAGTCAGAATGCGGCTGGCGGTTACACGCTTTTCCGCTCTGCGGCTCACGACACTGCAGTTTCACAAGCGTGTTGGACTTCAGGTGGAACATGAAAGTCTCTCTACAGCCAGTGTTTGGTTTGTCCGTTCTGGGCTGCTGTAGAAACATGGGGGTGCTATATGTAAATATAAAGGACTCATACTAAGGTAATGAAAACATGATTCTTAATTTCAGGTAATTATATGCTAATGAAAGCATAGTGAGATCCCCCTAAATCTTACATACTGGGTCTTTAACTATTTTTCATCATTCAGCCTGGATAAAAAAAGGCCTGTGATTCTGCTGGTGTTAAATACATATTTTTGGGAATTCCAACATGATTAAATTGTCATTAACTATAATTAATCGCACAGGTTTACTGCTCAATTTCAATCAAAGATGTTTAACCATAATAACGTGTGGAGTAGAATATAAACAGAACAAATGTTCTTCCCACTTCTGCTGACAATCGCATTCAGCTTACAGGCATTTTTCTTAGAATTACCTGTGAAGTTTGTCCCCATAAAAGGAGCACGGTTTAGTTTCTGAACTCTAATTGTCCCGCTTAGTCATCACCTTGATGGCAGATCTTTCTTCTTTATTTTGCAGCCTTTCTAAAGGAGGTGCTTGCTCTCTGCTGCCTGCTCCAATGAGCTCTCATTAATCTTCCTTACAGCCTTCATTAAAGCTGCCACCTCTACACTTCAGGCTCCTATCTCCTCCTTAATGCCCATCTCCTCGACCTTTATCTCTGCCCAGCTTGCCTTCCATAATCTCTCGCCCTGAAGCCTACGTTACATCCCTTCCCCTCTCATCCCCTCATCTCCTGGATCTATCCTCTCCTGTCTTTATACCATTTGTCTAGTAGCTCAATTCGTTAAATTGATTGTACTGTTGAGCATTGAAATCAACCTTGAATTAACTATTGATGTGGTAGGCCATTTGTGAGGTGGCAGTTCTCTCCTTTGTTGTTGACTCAGACATAAAACCGTACTTTATGAAGGGATTGTGTTTCTGCTGGCTCAGTGTTGAACCAGTTGACCCTGAAGTGTCTGCCATTGGGCCCCTCCACCCTCCATTACTGTCCATACTGTAGGGAAGCTGAAAAAAGCTGCTTAGCTGCAGATTACGACTTAATTATCTCGTTATCTCAAGACAGAACCAACGGCAACAAGTACAGCTTGTTTCATTTTTTTTTTATTTAGTTCATCGTAAGTTTTAAAAGCTGCTACCCTAAAATGTGATTACCATACATTCTCAAATAGCGACCTTTATTTACCCAAACTGCAGAAACCACCAGGCCCTTATTTGGACTCTGTTGGAGACAGACATTTGTTCCTAATTACGTTGAATTGTAAATCTTTTTGGTACCATTGTTTGTTTGTTTTACTGACAGCAAAGTGGCTTTAAACGGTACAGTATCCCCTTTTTTGGAAGGCTTAACATGAAATATTGGCAGGAAGTTTTAATGACTGTAACTTAACACACATCAAACAAGTGATAAGAAGGAATTTTGAATGGCAATATTTATAAAATCTGATGAAGATTATGTATCCACTGATATTAGTTTTCTTTCATAAACATATAACGTAACATGAATCATGTTTGTTCCATAAAATATATATATTTTTTTAAATAGTGAGCAAGCTGTGGCCTGAGTGTGATATTTTACAGTTGCTGTTGCTCTCTGGTGGAAAAAATACTGTTTCTAAATCACTATTTCTTTGACACTTCTGCAATGCAATTTGTTATAATTTATTGGGTGACATACAGTATGCTGATATGATATATCTGGGATAAGCTAATATTAGTCAGTATGTGAGTCTAGCACTAGGAAATAGCAATTCCCTTAAAAGAGAAGTAGACGAGTGGTGAGACCGACAAAACTATGTTGTTGTACTGATGGAATTAATGCCGTGGAAATCTGCGTTATGCTGAGATAGTTTTTTTTTTTTTTTGCCCAGCCTGTATTTGAAACAGGTTTTATGTGTATATGCTGGCCAAACCTCCAGCTATCTTAAACTTAATGTGTGAATATTGGCTTTTATTTGAGAATTTCTGGTACATCAATTGTTCTTCCAGATGTTGATGGAACATTAGTCTCATCTTTATTCTCTTTCTCTCAAGGCAGACGTTAGGGATGTGACTATGGTTTTTTGTGAATTACTGGATGACTGCCAGTGGCTCCATGCAGATCGAGATCTTATGTAAACCAAGTCATGTGCGTGACGTGTAGCCTACCTGCCCTCTCCTCTCCTTCACCTGAGGTGGTAGATTCACTTGCTACCTCATAAGCCTATTTGATTGTCTCAACCGCTCAGTTAGGGAGCCTCTGTTAGATAGTGCACGACCTCTGTTTTTCTCACTGTAGCAGAAAAAAATTGCTCAGACCACCTAAAGCTCAATATTCAAGAGCAACTCCCGAAATGGACACAACCAATTGGACCTTTCCTCCAGGTACGATCTAATTGGGGGAAAATGGTATGCCTCCAGCTCTATGGCCTAATTGACATTGCTGGGGTACAAGAACTTTGTCACCCAGTAATGCGCACTGACTGACCTTCCATCAATGTGGCCATGGTTTACAGATTCAGCTGCCACGTGAACCCTTTAAGGTTGAAGCAGCCCGGCCAGCTTCAAAAGATACTGCAAGTACAGCAGTAGACCCTGCAAAGGGCATGAGACTGGATCTAACCCTGTCGCTGCACCATAAAGAAAACACTGGCCAACAGTTTCTATTCCCTTTCCTTTGGAAGGAGCCCTTGCAGTCTGCAAGGTCTCACGAATTGAGAGCTCAAGGTCAGTCAGAAGTGACCACTCCACCAATGGTCACACCAAGAGTTGAAGTAGGGCAATCATATCCTTCATGGATACCTGGGGGGGGCCAAAGAGGACTCTGTCACACGTTGAAATGCTGACAAGAGCATCCATCCCAAGTGGGGCATTGGTCTCTGCCAAGGAAAGCCAGAGACAATGAGTCGTGCACTCTGAGGCGAATAGGTTCACCTGGGCCTGCCTGTATCCATCCCAAATCAGCTGCACCATCTGAGGGTGCAACCTCCATTCCTAACTCAGCCGCCTCAAGTGTAAGAGGTAATCTGCCACAGAGTTTAGTCTGCCTGGAAGATGCATCCCCTCAGAGACGCCAATTCTGGTCGAGACCATTTCCATAGCCTCTGAGCTTCCCCCGGGGACTTCAGTTACCAGGCCCCTCGTTGATGGTTGATATGAAACAGAGCTGAGATATTGTCTGTCTGAATGAGCACAGGCTTGTCCATTCAGCTCTCATAAACAGGACCGAGAAACTCATTCCTATAACCACCATCACTTCCCATCACAGACGCGCTGCAGCACGCTCTATGTCAAACCCCTCTGGTGCTAACCAGAACTATTTACTTACAGTCCCTCTGCTACCTCCTGCTCCTGACTGTAAGCCTGTTAGTTTTGGCCTTTTAAATATCAGATCTCTAAATAGTAAGTCGTTTTTATCACAGGATTTTATTACTTTTAATAAATTAGACTTTTTTATCATCACATATACATGGCTGTCTCAGCCCTGATAACTTTGAGACTAAGGATATCTATGTGTCTGATCACAAAGTGGTTTTATTCCATCTTCTACAAGTTATTCATACTTCACATGTCTAACCACAGCTTTTGTTAATGCCTTTAATCCTCATTTTAATTTAGAGGAGCTGGTCTCCCTTTTTAATCACATCTGTCAGACTGTCCTGGATTCTGTTGCCCCCCTTAAAGACAAAGAGTCAAATGGAACACCCCAGGCCTGGCGAAATGAATCCGAAACCAAAAACAGGTTTACATGTATTTTATGAGAGTTGGAAAGATGCAATGAGGACTCATTCAAACGGCAGTTAAAGAAGCAAAACTTCCTTCTTCTCCAATTTAATTTTAGTAAATTTTATTTAAGCTGAGACGCTTAACTCCAAAATTGCTCCTGCCGTTGGGTAAGAATGGGTATGAATGATTAGTTAGTCCAGATGGGCAGGTGGCACCTTGCATGGTAGCCCCTGTCATCAGTGTATGAATGGGTGTGAATGGGTGAATGATGACATGTAGTGTTAAAGTGCTTTGAGTGGTTGGAAGAATAGAAAAGCGCCATACAAGTACAGTATAGCGCTGAAATGTAGTCTTCAGTGAATTGTAATTAAACAAATGAAAGCTACAGAGAAACTAAGAAGATGTGGAGGATGTGAAAAAAAATGATATTGTGTTGTGATGTGATGCTGTTCTCAGGTCAGCAGGTTCTTGGTCTGGTGGAGAACCAGAGTGACTGGTACCTGGGGAACCTGTGGAAAAACCATCGACCCTGGCCGGCTCTGGGCAGAGGCTTCAACACTGGTGAGTACAGAAGGACGTAATGTTAGCATGTTAGCATTTAAACTATGTCCCAGTTGCGTACTTATAATCATACTTATGATAATTATATTAAAGTATGCATGCTAAAATAAATATTTTGGAGAGTGCTGCAAAATATTCAAAGTGTGACCCAGCTTAAGGAAGATCTCAGAAAACTTCCAATGTGGTTGCGTTGCACGCTGTCACAAGGACAGATACAAGAGAACATTCACTGCAATAAGACTTTACAATAAATCACCTCTGGCCAAATCATCATTCACTTGACTACAACATTGCTACACTGTCTTTGCACTACTGTTTAGTTTATCTAGTTAGTTCAATGAATACTATTCTATTTCATTGTATATATTGTGCATTTTTTTATTTTACTTAATATGTTCTATTCTGTTATTTTATTGTATATATTGTGCATTTTTTATTTGTCACTTTGATTGCTTAGTATATTTTTTGCTGCTGTTGCGAAGAAATTTCCCCATGCGGGATGAATAAAGTATATATAATCCTAGCCCTATTTTTAGGCTTCTGCTCGAAAGTTGCATTACCATACCCAAAAGACTATAAATCTGTAAGTACAAGGTCTATTTTAATAATTTTGATGGTATAGTACAGGTAACACTTGTGAGATGTGTGCAGATGTGTAAATATTGTGTATATGTTCCTGTTTAATAGTGAATGAAGGTGGCACACAGCTCAAATTGAAAAGTTTCAGGTTCGCCCGAAAGAAAAGCACTGAAAGCATGAATATCTTTTTTTAATGATGCAGGTGAAAGCTAAAAACTCTCCCAAATCATAGCACAACATGTCAGAAGGCTGTATAAAAAGATTTTGCTTTGATAAAGTGGAGCAAAAAAACGTTAAGAGAGGTTTAGTACAGGGAGGTCTAGCTGATTTGTCATTTTGGAAGCAGCTGTTCCATTGTACTTTTATATACTATATAACTATATATTTCACTTGTTTTATCTCTAATATTATTCAATCTATCCAAAATACAGCAGTTTGGCATCATTTTGAGAGCCTGAGGCCTCTCTAACCCCTCTCTGTGTCTGTGAACCATGGATCAATTCTTGTCTGCCTGTGTGTATGTGAAGCCCTTGTGAGCCTATGATTGGCCAATCCCAGACTATGGCACCTCTTTAGACGCGTCAGAGTCTCATGAATACAGGGGTGGTAACATGGGTTTGATTGACAGAATCGTTAGAGGAAAAAAACAGAAACGCGGCATCCCCCCACGGTCCCCCAGCCTTGTCTGACCCCCCTTTCTCCAGGGAACACTGTAAAAAACACAGGAAATACGTAGCAACAGTGTTTTAGCCGGCAAAAACGGAATATGAATCCTTTTTCTTCATGATTCGTCTCAAGGTACGAAGCATTTATGGTTTATTCTGCGGTGGAGCGTTGGTGTATAATTGTGTTTGCAGTGTGTAAAATGGCTGATATGATGTTTTTGCCCAGAATTTCTTCGTTAATTCGGTATATAATATGTGTGGAGCATTCATTATATTTGTTTCTGAGAAGTGCATTCTACGACACGCTGCCACGCTAAACGGTCTCGCTCGAACCCCAAATGGGGCTCACTCGGGCCCAGAAGGATATCTATCTATCTATCTGTCTGCACTGGCTGTCAGAGCTATTTTAATGCCACTATAGTTGCCACTGTTCACAAAAGCAGACTGTGTCTATGTGATGGGTCTATTTTTGCAGAAACAGCTTGCTTATAGTGTGAAATTCACTTGTGAATGTATACAAATGCTGATAGTTATTGAGAATTGACATGTAATTATTATTAAATTATCAATTTTTTATGTAATTGACTTTGACTTAAAATGCAAACAGCAAAACTAGTTTTCTTGTTTATGTCTGTCTCTTCTCCTGTAAAGTCTGTAAAGCGGGAAAATAAATGCCTTTTGCTAATGTTCAGTTTTCAGGAAACACAGTTACAAAATCCAGACCAAGCGATCAACTGGGTTCAGTCATTAAAACCTGTAAAGTACAGCCACAACGTACAGCTGATGTAGTCTATACTCCTTTGTGACGCCAAGGTTCACAAGCAGACAACATGCACCAGCCCACAAACCGTAGGTGCCACAATTAACAACGGGGAAGAACGCCTTAGGAGAAATAACTCTTTACCAAAATGAGTTTGTTACGGCTTGGTGTAAATGAGGGATTTGGCTGTTGCTGCAATTACATCCTCTCTAACTGGTAAGGTGAGAAACTTTAAGGAAAACTGAGCAAGCACTTGATCCCATTCAGTTTGCTTATAGGCCACACAGAGGAGTAGAAGATGCCACAGTCACTTTGTTTAATTTACTTTTTAAACACTTGGAGGGAAATGGATCTCATGTTAGACTTCTATTTGTTGATTTCTCCTCTGCTTTTAACACAATTCAACCCCACATTTTAACCAGTAGGCTTTTAGAACAATTTGACTTCAGTCACAATCTTGTGGGCTGGATTCCTGACTTTTTAACTAATAGGACACAAAGACTGAGGGTAAATGGAATTCTGTCTGACCAAGTTTGCTCCTCCACTGGCTCCCCACAAGGATGTGTGCTTTCACCCATATTATTCATCCTCTACACAACTATGTGTCAGAGCAGGTATGAAAATAGGACCATCTTAAAGTATGCAGATGACTCCGTTATTGTTAATCGGCTCCAGGACAATGAGACCAGCCACGGCCCCGTCATCGACGACTTTGTGAAGTGGTGTGAGGAGTCCTATCTTCAGTTAAACATATCTAAAACCAAATACATGACAATTGATTTTAGAAGAGCCCACACACATGAACTCATATCCATTAAGAGTCAGACGGTGGAATGTGTGTAATCTTACAAATATCTTGGGAAAATTATTGACTCAAAACTGAACTTTGAAGAAAACTGTGTAGCCGTGTGCAAAAAGGGGCACCAGCGTTTCTTTTGTTTGAGGAAACTGTCCTATTTCCACATTGACAAAACCATGATGACCTTATTTTACCGTGCTTTTATTGAATCGATTTTATCTTTTTCTTTGGTGTCATGGTTTGGAAACCTATCTTTAAAGAACAGAAACTCTGTATCAAATTGTGAAATGGTCTAGCAGGCTGATTGGTGAGTCACAGCTTAACCCAGAGTCCCTGTACACCAGACTGTTACAACGGATAACCGGCTCCTTAAAGGACGACTCCCACCCTTTGCACAGGGAGTTTCAGCTTCTTCCTTCTAGACGGAGGTATATAGTCCCACGGTGTAGAGAAAAGCGGTATAAAAACAGTTTTGTTCCAGCAGCCATCACTCAGGTGGACAAATTATAGCAACAGTACACAGATGCTATAGAAACAACGTTTGTGTACTTATGTATTTTATTTAGTGATTGACTGATTTGTAGCCTTGTTGTCTGTGTTGATTGTAATGTGTGTCGAGATGGATGCCTCGGCCTCTATTGCAAACCAAGTCTATACGGGTACAAATATAAGTAACCTGAACCTCAACCTAATATAAAGGCAAGATTGCGAGACCAACAGTGCCTCCCTTTTTTCTTTGGTGTGAAGAAATAGCAGAAATAGAGCCCCTAGTTCTCCTTGTGTGGAGGGATATGGGAGATCATTTTCTTCCCTAGAAGCTCCACCTTTTTCATTGTCACGGCACTTATCTGTATTAAACAACAAACTGATGTTACTCGACTGTACTTGCTCATATCTGGCCCAAACTCGATATGCTTGAGAAATTCATAAGTCCCATCATCGCTGCTTGCAGCTTTGATTTGTATGTTGCCATCTATTGTGCAACCAATGAGAAATGGTACAGCGTCGGACGACTTCGATAACTGCTTTTACTTGACTTGCCATTATTTTTTAGGTGGAGCTGTGCTACTTGGCGTGGCAAGGATGTTTCTCCATTTTCTCTGCACCCTGAGTTTTGGTTGCCAAAAGCTCTGCAGAGAGGTTTCACACCGCTTAAGGCCATAATATCTCTTGTGTCAACACCCATCAGATTGGGGTGCTGCAGAGGCAGTGGTTACTGTGAGTCTTTCAAACCTCCTCTTTTCAGAGAGGTGGGGGCGACTGTGGTTCAGTGGTCGAGCGGGTCGTCCTTCAATCAGTGGTTCGCTCCCCGGCTTGGCTAGTCCATGTCGATGTGTCCTTGAGCAAGACACTTAACCCCAAAATTGCTCCCATAGCTGTGCCTACGGTGTGTGTATGGTGGCACCTTGCATGGTAGCTCCTGTCATCAGGGTGTGAATGGGTGAATGATGACATGTAGTGTTAAAGAGCTTTGAGTGGTTGGAAAGACTCGAAAAGACGACACAAGTACAGTCCATTTACCAATCATAGCAATGCATATCATTTAGCATGTGATTCTCTGGAGATTAACCTTTAATGATTACATTGCGGAGTGGCTTTTAGCTGCCAACTTTGTTGTATCTGTAACCTGTTCCATGTTGGCGGAAGTGATCCCCGTGTCGCTAAGCAACCATGACAACACATTGGTCTAATGTTTTTTGCTCACAGGGAGTGATACTGAAAGTACAAAGGGAAATCAATGTCAAAGCAGTAGTATGTATGACTTATATCACAGCTGAGAAACAATCAGATTGCTTCACTTGAGCAGCCCATTTAGTAAAATGCAGTATAGAATTGAAACTAGGGTTGTTGCGATATACTGCTGTGGGCGATGAATGTGATATTTAAAAATAAAATATTGATAACATGTTAACAATACACACTATAACATCATGTAAAGGTCCAGCACCTCTTAAATCAGGGGTGTCAAACTCTAGGCCCGCGGGCCGAATCCGGCCCGCCACGTCATTTTATGTGGCCCGCGAATCCGCCAGCAAAAAAATAAAAAAATGTAAAGTTAGACTTGATAATAAAAATATCCCCATAATCTAAGTTATGAGATAGAAAGTCGAAGTTATGAGATAGAAAGTCGAAGTTATGAGATACTTAAACAAAGTCATAGAAGCAGCTCTTTGGCTGGTTACTGTACACTTGACATGAAATGTATTGTGAGTACATTGAAGACTACTTTAAACGTGGCTTTAAAACACATGAAATACTTCACGTGGGATTGTGCAAACGCACCCTTGAAAGGATTTTAAGCATTGAACAAAGTTATTGTAATAACTTGTTTGATATTTATCTTTGATATTTTCTTTAATAGTTTGATCTTTGATAGAGTAATGTGGGTTTCTTAACCCTAAATTAAAAGGATTAAAGTTATAATAACAGAAATGTGCTTAAATATATTTTACATTTATATAACTGCATGTTCAATAATTTAACACTTGAATAAACAATAATCAAATGCAGAGACAGTTATTTAACAATATGCTAGGAGTAGTTACATTTACACCGTCTTACATTTACAACCGATCCTTTGAGGGAAACATGATGTTGATGTGGCCCAGAGTGAAAATGAGTTTGACACCCCTGTCTTAAATCATTCATGTGTAGTATCATGTACGTATGTATAGTTATAGTAACAGACTTCTCTTCAGTGAGTGTAAACAGTTTGCTAAAACAGACACAATAAACAAAGAATTTGATTAATATCATTTTTAATTACCATCTGTGATAGGAAAACAATTGATTGCTGTCTAAGTACTTTTAATTCTGTATTATCTGATCATTTCATTTCAAAGCCGAACAGCAGTGAGGCAGCTTCTTCCTTTGCAATAACATAGTGCATTGATGAAAGATGGAGGCACACACCAGGCTCATTATCAGTTTTATGGAAAAACATTTTCCAAAAGATGATTGTGAAATTGATTGGGTTCCATTACACATTGTTATTCATTTCCCCTGCCTATATATTTTTCCTCCAGGTCATTTCCTTCAGGAGACTCATAGCTCTCTCTGTGCTGTTTGGATCTGGAGCCCAAAACAAACAGCTCTGTGAATGTTACAGCAGACACACCTGAACACTCTTGATTTGTGACGGTTCAGTGTTCTGCTCTTAAACTTCCTGACAGTGTGACTGAACAGCAGATCTCAGAAACAGAAAGGCATGTGTTGCATTCACACAGAACATCAATTTGACAGAAAACCTCCAGTTTAGCTGCGGCTGGTCGGCTTTGTGGCCGGGGCAACAGATGAGCACAGTGGGCTGTGAAAGATGGTTCAATGGTCCAATTCGCAAAAAATATATTCGCCATGTCTCTCCCTCTCAAAATTGGCTTCTTGATTTTCTTTGTAGCAGCCTGGAATTCTTTTATTAGCCAGGGAAGTGAAAAGAAACAGTTCTTGTTTTTGATTTTTCCTGTTTGTTGTGGGAGAAAGTTAACAATGAAAAACAAGGGTGTGATTCAGAGCATCATGATGGGACTTTATCATCTTTACCAGGCAGCTAGATACTAATCTCTCTGTTTCTTAAGCTACTATATGTGTGCGTGCGTGCGTGTGTGCTTTCCAGGGGTAATTCTGCTTCTCCTGGATCGTCTGCGGAAGCTGAAATGGGAGCAGATGTGGAGGCTGACTGCAGAGAGAGAACTAATGAGCATGCTGTCGACCTCCTTGGCAGACCAGGTAACACACACACACGCACACACTCACACTCACACCTCAGGCATGCTAACTCCAAATTGCTCCTTCACATGAGCAGATCACGAAAACACAGGTACAGTACTTGTTGCGGGAGCCTGTTTGTCCAATCTATTTTAGACTTTGCTGGTAATCTAAACTGTGGTAAGCCCTCATGTTTTCTGCCAATGCTACCTGAACATTTGTGGCTAAACTAAACCACAGTAAGGGCTTCAAATAAACAGCTTTGTTCGAGACGTGTCACCCGTCCATGTCTAAAGGTCTGAAGAGTTTTCTGCCTGTTCTGAATGGCCACACTGAAAAACAAGGTGAAAAACGGTGTCATAGCCTCCACTAGGCAGCATCACACCGCCTCCGTGATCTCTCTCCAGCAACTCAGTGTCTTTTGTGTATCAGCCCCGTGGATCATACAAACAGGATAATAGTGCACACCTTCACACCATCTCTTCTCTTCTTTTATGGCGTTGCACTCACTTGTACACACAGACAGAGGTGGTTTTGTGAAGAATAAAAAATCCAAACTTGTTTAAGCTGCCAGCTTGCTGCTTTCCACCTTTCCCACGTCAGAATTAGGTATGGCGCTGTCCGATCATCTCAGTAACTTCCCAGAGTCGACAATTCGACTTTCACACCCACTTCACACTGTGCAAGGCTGAGAAAGTAAGCAGGGTTGGAGCCCTTTTTTCCATCTTTATGAAAATTTTTCTGTCATATATTCTGTGCATGAACAAGTGTTACACTATGAATGTCTTCCAGGGGAGAAGACATTCATAATGTTACAGCCTGAAAGTCTGTGCCGTTATCCTCATATTAAAACAACTATCTTGTTTTGCCCCTGGCTTTTCCCTCCCACTTTTGAGTGTGGCTGCTCGGAGGAGCTCTAAACTTTTACTTGAAGGGCACCTTTGGTCTTTTTTTAACCTGGACCACATTTTTCCATGTTTCTGTGTTGAAGTGACCATTGGGGACAACATTTTATACCTGGGCCTTCAGTGCTGTCCTACTACAGTTTAACCACCTCCTAATAACCTCATTATGACCCAACAGCTAAGGTTATTATTTGTTTCTAGGGGTGTAACAATACACACATTCGTATTAAACTATTCGGTACGAGGCTTACGAACCAAACAATACATTTGAATTTGAAGAAATAGAAACATATTAAAATTTACAATAGAATTTAAAAGAATATAAAATAAAGTGCACAACAAACAGATAACAGGACTGTAAACAAGTGTAATGTAAAAGTGACAAGTGTATTTAAATATGAAGGGATGTGCAGGGGAGTAGTAGGGAGGGAAGGAATTTGTCCTGGGGATGGCAGAGTCAGTGGGGGTCCCGGGCTCTGTTAATGAGACCGACTGCGGACGGGAAGAAACTGTTCGTGTGGCGTGAGGTCTTGGTCCTGATGGACCTCAGCCTCCTACCAGATGGAAGGGGCACGAACAGTTCATGTGCAGGGTGAGAGGGGTCGGCTGCAATCTTTCTTGCTCGCTTCAGGGTTCTAGAAGCGAGCAAGTCCTGGAGGGACGGCAGATTGCAGCCAATCACCCTCTCAGCAGAGAGAATGATGCCTTTGTCCTTGGCTGTGGCTGCAGCGTACCAGACCGTGATGGAGGAGCAGAGGATGGACTCAATGACGGCTGTGTAGAAGTGCACCATCATTGTCTTTGGCAGGTTGAATTTCTTCAACTGCCTCAGGAAGTACATCCTCTGCTGAGCCTTCTTAGTGATGGAGCTGATGTTCAGCTCCCACTTGAGGTCCTGGGTTATGATGGAGCCCAGGAAGCAGAAGGACTCCACAGCGTCAACGGGGAAGTCACACAGGGTGATGGGGACACAGGTGGGGCTGCGTTCTTCCTGAAATCCACAACCATCTCTACTGTCTTTAGAGCGTTGAGCTCTAGGTTGTTCAGACCGCACCAGGTCACCAGATGGTCAGTCTCCCACCTGTAGGCGGACTCATCCCCACCAGAGATGAGTCCAATGAGGGTGATGTCATCCGCAAACTTCAGGAGCACCACAACAGCAGCACACAAGCTACAAACTCTCCCCGCAGCGTTTAGCTGTTCTCTACTGATTCAAACAGGGGTAAAGCAATCACCACACAATCCCCATTTCTCCAGACCATCATTTCTGCTTTGTTATTGAAAACAAAACCCCAAACAGAATCAAATGTCCGACCCTAACCCTGCGCTTGACGGGATAATTCGTCATTAACGGACAATGCATATAGTCAGAATCAACGTAATTAACACAACGACAAGAACAAACTCACAAGAACCAGTCACATATATTTATATGACAACAAAGCAACAAATCAATCCAGCAACACTGCAGCGCTAAAACAGTATTTATCCGCACACTGAAGAGCACGAGCCATTCATATATTATCCACATCAGAGGGAACAATATTAACCATATCATAAAAACGACACCATAGACAGATGAACACAGTAGTAACGCTACTGCAGATGTAAAAACACAAAAGCACTTCACTTACCAAAGCTGCTGTTCACTTAAAGACAAAGTCCATCCTCCTTTCTATGTTAACAAAGAGTTTAATGACGTGGTTGTACAGAACATCGGTGCGGTTCAGTTCCAGCCAGAGGTCCTCCTGTGAACATGTTCGTTGAGTTGTAGATCCACTCGGGTCTCAGCAAAAGTTTTCAAAAGCTCCGTAGCTTGTAAGTGTCCTGCCGTGCTATGGTGTTGTGTTGCTGCCTTGGTTAGCCAACTCAGGTTAGCGTAGCGTAGCTCCAAACACCAAGACGCTCAGTTGCAAATAAAACGCATTCCAGGCCATAAAATGTGTAACGCTTCTCCGACGCTGTCAGCCAGAAATACCATTCGTACAAATCCTTTTCCATGGTGGGTCAGGGCTGCTAGCTGTGGGGTTGGCCGACCCTTTGATACGATGTCCAGCTTTTCTTGAACTGTCCTTCTCCAGAAAGGCGTTGCCAGTAACTCCGCCGCCTAATCCATTTCTCCTCCTCCTTCAGCCATTGAGTGTTAAAAAAAACAAAGCTAGGTAAAAAAAAAAAGAATCTACACCAAGCAAAACGCTAAAAATGTCATAACTTCTCTTACATATCTTTCAACTTGAACTACTACTACTAAGTTCTGCTAGCTAGCTTTCAGCTTCACAACAATCACGCTAGCCCACTGACCAATCACGCTGCACGTTATTGCTGACGCACTTGTAGACTACGTCGGTAGCTCTGACATGTCAAAGAATACGCCCAACATGTCAAACTAAAGATCTGATTGGTTGAAGACTATGACAATCAATAATATCTTCTCCATATACTTTAATCTGCAAAGACTATCCAGCAGGCCTCTGGCCTCTCTTCTTACCTAGAGACACAGAGGTGAAATCTGATTGGATAAAAGCTCTACTTAAAACAAGCTGCACTGGAAGCAGAGCAACTGAGGAAGACAGTAGCTGTGCAATGAGAAAATAAGATAATGGGGAAAAATTATAATACATGTAGTGTATTTATGAAAAATTATTAAATTATAAAATAGCTATAACTTTGTGATTCTGTTTAGGCCAGCAGAGAAGGCCTTGCTGGCCCTGACGGCCCGCCACTGATATACTGTATACTGTATATATTGATAATACCAGAGCGACAAAACTATACATGTGCAGTAGCTCAAACAAGCATTAAAATAGCTATAAAAAGTAATTATTAATTATCAAAAAGTATTAATTAATTAATTGATTAATTGATTAATTAATTAATTAATAAATAAATTGGGGGGCGACCGTGGCTCACTGGGTTAAGAGGGTTGTCTGGAACGGACAACGGTTCGATCCTCGACTGGGACGTGTCACGTGTCGAAGTGTATCACTGAACCCCAGGCTCCCCGGGCGCCTGTCATTGGCAGCCCACTGCTCCCTATATACAGGGATGGGTCAAATGCAGAGACAAATTTCCCCCTTAAAGGGATCAATAAATTAAAATTAAATACATTGAGTTACATGATTTAATATATGTCAATATAAATCACTTCAGGGCTTCTTTTGTTCCCTAAAAAAAGGAAATGAAAGCCAATTCATGTAGTCTCATAAAATAGTTGTAATAGTAGTATGAATTATACCAACTATCAATTTGGAACTCTGTTTAATACTTACATCAATAACTATAACCAAAAATCTTCCATCAATAGGTAGTAAATTGAAGGCTTTTGTAGGTCTTGACATAGCAGAGGTTGGCAGTATTCACTCTGTAAACATTAAACAGACAAGCATTTATTTTCAAGAGTAAAGTGGTGAAGCAAACTAAGTAACTAAACAAAACAAAGATTATTTGTGTATGTCATTCACCCTTTCACACCCATTCATACACTGATAGCAGGGGTTACCTGCTGACCAGGACTAACTAACCACATTCACACACCATAGGCACAGTCTTCGGGAGACATTTTGGGGTTCAGTGTCTTACCCAGGGACACATCGCCATGGACTCAATGTGTACTTGCTCTATTTGGGTTGCAAAATGCATTAAAATATAAATTATTGGTCTTAATTTTTCTGTTCTTTGGCAAGTTACCATAGAATAAGGTGTCGAGGTGTCCCTTATTAGCTGCGTGTCGGAAAGTTCTGCTCTTGTCATCAATTAATTCCTGATAATGGACACCTCGCCGGGCATTATCCCTTACTTCGATCATTTTCTGTACTCCAACAAAACAAACTGACAACAATGACACTCCTCTCTCCAACTCTCACTCACATTTTAACTGATGTCTTCCGGCAACAAGTCACATGACACATTAACAAACAGACAGACAACGGGTAAACAAAGCTTTGTTTCACCTTTTAATTTAGCTAGTCTGTTGATTCGCTTTCTGCAGAAATCTGAGAGCAGACATATCACGAACACACAGAAGCAGCCAAGTGTGAGAAGAAGGGCTGAAACTGGAGCACAGAAAATCTATGCAAGTAATAATATGTCTGCATTCAAGCAAACCGTTTGAGCAGAAATCCAAGCGTGTGAGTGCAGGGTTTTGAGGGAGAGCATTTCATAATCTGAAACATAATCAAGGAGTCATGCTCTTAAATTGAAAAACCACGCGCTTGAAAAAAGATGGCAAAAAAGCTCCATAAAACACTACAGTATGTCTGCTGCTGCTGGTTGTGCCACTGTTATATTATTTTGATCTTTTGCAAGCCACCCACAGCAGCTTCATAAAAACTTTTACAAAAAAGTTCAACTTCTGTACATTTATTGTTTGCCTCTATTTTCATCTGAGAGTGCAACAGAACACTCAATTTACATGTCACAGTTGTATAAAGGTTTGGGTTCAAAACAATTTTTCAGCCCACTTGAGCGTAACCCTCCTGTTGTCCTGGGGTCAATCTGACCCCAAATGAAATCTTTTGCCATCAAAATATGTTTTTTATTCATCAAATGGTCTGAAAATAATGGAGGTTGTTCGATACTATGCTCTTCATGATTAAAATAAATAAAAGTAATTTGATTGAATTATGGGTGATTTATTGAATTTAATAACTTCTGTTGTCCTCTGGGGTCAAAAAGACCCCGCAGCACAAAGTGGTGCAATGGGGCAAATTGTCACACCATACTGCTTTCCAAAACATCTTTGATCTTGGATGTTTGATGTTTGGGGTCAAGCAATGGTTATGACAACAACAAAAAACTGGTCTTTTCTCACAGGTGTTGGGGCATTTCACATTTAAGAGAGAGACAGGCAGCACAATGAGGAGGCTTGTGAGCTCATTTTTAACTATGTTGTGGAAAAGAATGACCAGGAGGACAATGCTGAACATAATGAGGAAAAATCAACTGATGAGGAGGATTCAGGTCAGAAGAGAAGGAAAATAATGACGAGGTGATAGATACAACATACAGACCACATGCTACTTCTTCCTCTGAAGAAGCCCCCACATCGCCCGCTGTAGAAATGGAAGAAGGGTATGAAGTGAAGGACAATGATGAACATGATGATGAGGTAGAATCTGAAGAAGTGTCAGAAGTGGAGGACTGAACTTATTATGATGAAGAGGAAGAATCAACTGATGAGGAAGAATCTGAGGGAAAGGACCCAGCTGCGATAGAAGAATATTTCCAGTCAAAGGAAGAAACATTGATCTGGTCTTCCATCCCTCCCAGTGATGGACGACGCATGTTGACAGCAGAGAGAGAGACAAGCCACCATGGTCCAACCGCATATGCAAGGTCTCGTATTGATGACATAAAGTCCACTTTTGACCTGTTTCTGACCAAGCCTATTGAAGAGGTGGTGCTGAACATGACAAACAAGGAGGGGCGACGTGTGTATGGCAACAAGTGGAGAAAGATGGATCAAATGGACCTGCAGGCATATGCCACGCAAGGTCAGCATTAAGCTACATTTCTGTTGCTTTTCCTTCTGTAGTGACCTCACAATTTGAACTATTTGTATTTGCACTGTGATTTGTTATAATAAAGTTTGACTTGACTTGATAGGTTATTCCCGGCACGCCAGCCGCTGCCAGATTGGTTATGGAGATCCAGCAGTTCTGCTCCAGCTCTACCTCTGCAGCAGCTCCCCCTCGCCCAGCTGCCCCTCCTGGCCCATCACCCAAAGGGAGTAGGTGCAAATTCTGCCCTTGCCAGAGTGATCTCAAAACATCGAAAATGTGCCAAAAGTGCAATGCATACATCTGCAAAGTTCACGCCATTACTACCTGCCTTGCATGCAACTGAGGGCCCATTCAGACTGTTTTTATTCTGAAAAGTTTGTTTTGAAAAGTTAAATGTTTTGGAAATTAATGTTTATATGTCAGGTCATGAGTTGGAATAAAGTTGACTAAAAAGTTGAAACACAGAGGTGGGTGATAATTTTACTTTATGCTTTATAAACAGTCAAACCAGACGGGGTCATTTTTGACCCGGGAGGACAACAGGTGTGATTATTTGCTGCCATTAAAAAAATTGAAGTGGTTTAAAAACAGCATCCTAACTCAACTTTGACATATACCAGTCTGTGATGATCTATCAAGACACGTGACTCTGATTGTTAACTAAAGTCAGAATAATTGATGATTTTATTTATTTTTACTCAAAAACAATGTAAAGGTTCATGTAAATGAGGTCTTATTGGCCTTAAATTTCAAATGGAATAAAGAAATGGTGTTAATGTGTTTGAATAAAGTTATTATTAAAGGTGTAACACAGAATTGGGTGAAGTATCCACTTTATATTCTATAAATAACAGTCAAACCAGACAGGGTCAATTATGACCCCAGAGGACAACAGGTGTGATTATGTGCTGCCATTAGAAAAATTCAAATGATTCAAAAACAGCATCCTCACCAAACTTTGACATATACCACTCTGTGATAAGTCAAATAGTCAGAATAATACATTGTTTCATTTTATTTTCACTCAAAAACAGGGTATACTTTTATGTAAACAAGGTCTATTGGCCCTAAATTCCAAAACGAAAGGAACAATTTGTGGTAATGGGTTGGACTGAAGTAAGACTAAAGGTGTAGAACAGAATTGATTGACAATTTATACTATATGCTTTAAATAAGGCGGGGTCATTTTTGACCCCAGAGGACGAAAGGTGTATGTCAATCGGGAAGACATTACAAGGGTTAGATGTATCCTGAAGGTCATAAATAGGTGTTGTCTTAAACCATCGCTCCATTATCTCCAAGCTATTCAGAACGCATCTAGATAAGAGGTGTGATTTTAATTCAACCTTCATTAAGTAAAGTCCCACAAGGTATGCAGTTTGGAAAATGAACAGGGCTTCAGAAACTGCTCAACCATCTGCCTTCTGCTGTATGAGCTCCTCCAGTGGACTGTCTGCCCTCTTTATCAAAGCAGTCATTATGTGGCTAAAGAGTCTTGTGTCTGCCATTGGGAAGCTGGAATCTGTCACTGAGGCTTTGTCTTGTGAACAGTTCCGGAAGATACCGAATTCAAAAAGTATTTCAGATGTAACCAAAGTACATTTCCTCTAAGCAATTTGAAGGATTCAGCCAGAACTAAAGCCGAAACATCTGGAGACGCACAAAACACTAACAACACAAAAGAGTCCGGAAGACATCATCATACAGTTTCTATGATGAATCAAGTTGTTACAGACCAAACCAACTAATCAGAGTCACCCTTGCAGGATCAAGGTGAGGCACAACTCAGGGGGGACATGTCAGTACCCTTATTTGATGGCTCCACACGTGATGAGATGGTTCTGGTCTGCCATTGCGAAGATGGTTCCAATGCTCTGAGGACTGAGGTGGGACATTACATACACCTTTGGGAAAGTCTTTTACCAGACGACACGCCCTTTTATTAGAATTTGGATGAACCCAAAATCTTTCATGTCTCCCAGGTGCGTTTGATTCATACCCATGTGTCCTGTCAGTTCTGACCTTTGTTAGAAGATTGTAGAAAAATATGAAAGCATAAAAGTATAACTATTACAACCTGTAACCTGTTTGATTTAAAAGTATAACCGTTACACCATATAAACTGTTTTATTTCATAGAAGTGATTAAACATAAACTGCATAGACGCCTTATATAAATAAAATAGTCACTCAAGCCTTGTATGATCCTTACATCCTGTGTTTGACCTACTTAACAGGAGGACACATGTTAGTGACACATGAACCTGAGGGAGGTACAAGCCTCAGACCAGCATAAAAAGCAGCTGCAAAACTGAGAGAACACAGTCTTCACCCTTAGGGGTGACTAGAAGACACTTCTGCTATCAGAAGACGGCATGGGAAAAAAAGGGAAAAAACTCACAGCGAAAGCTGACTGAGAGAGCCTGTTAAACCAGGACTGATAGTATTAGCTTTTTGTAACACTGAGACTGTTTCATTGAATTGAAATTGTTGTATGTGATTGTTGTGAAAAAACTTTAATAAAACCACAGCCTTACCAATTTTAAATGACTGCTATCATAGTGAGTCCTATGATACTGAAATTGAGAAACATTGAGAAAAGAAGTTTGTCCTTAGAGTCTTTATTCTCTGTGTAGAGAAGGTTCAAACGTCATACAGACCGCAATGCGGTCTGAAGGAGGAAGGCACCCAGAGTGTTGGTTGTGTACAACTTATAAATGCCCTGAGCACATGGTGGGATAGGAGGAGTTCATCACTAGGATATCTGGACAACAGTGATCATTCACTGACTAACCATTGAATGGTTAATCACTGATTGGTCCAGTGATTACATCCCCATTCAGCCCCCTATCTAAGTTGACAGTATCATGTCCCTGATTAAGACACACATCCAATATTACTCAACCTGAGAGGACCCTCACTGACCATGTATGACATTGATTAACTTTGTTAATACAAAAGGGCCAAAACACTGAGTACAGGAGAAGTAAGTCATAGTGGAAATTTACCATCACACGACTGACTCTACCAGAGGAGCTTAAGGTAAGTTCCCTGAGTGAAGACTTGGCAGTGTTAGTCAAAAATGGTGAGAAACTTAAAATAGGCAATAGTAATGTATAGATGTCCTACATAACTATTCATACTGGGTGTTAGGGTTACATCCTATTGAGAGCGCCTAGGGCGTAGCGGTGCAAGACTCTCAGAAAGACAATAATTCCGAAATCCTAACGACTCAGCTACGGGGTGAGATAAAAGGCCGAAGGTATTTTCCTGACACCTCTGTGGGACACGAAAGCCCACTAAGGTTGGTCGGATTACCGACAGAGTTATCACCGTGTTAGGTGTGAGCCTCCCTGGGACAGGATCCGCTCACGCTACACCTTCCAGTCTCCTTCTATACATGCCATCGTCTCCAAGCTCACAGACTTAAGTCATAAGCATTACCATCCTCTGCAGTCTGTAAAGATGTGTCACCTTTGTGCTGTCATCATTTGCTGATTAAAAAAAAGAGTACAATACCATAATAAAAGAATAGAAAAATGATACTAAGTTTGAAAGACACATGAGACACAGTGTATGGTAATTTGAGAAAGTGTATTTGCAGTTTTGTTTTCACATCCATGCAATAAGCAGCATAAGAAACAGCCTTGTGTGGTCATTGAATAAACAGATTGAACCGTGAGGTGCAGGCCTGTAGATGATGAAACATAAGGCAAAGCATAAGGCTCAGTGTGTGTGTGTGTGTGTGTGTGTGTCTGCAGGACATCTTCAACGCTGTGATCAAACAGAACCCGTTCCTGGTTCACCAGCTGCCCTGCTTCTGGAACGTCCAGCTGTCCGACCACACCCGCTCTGAGAAGTGCTACAAAGACGTGTCAGACCTCAAGGTGAGACCCTGCTGTCTCCACTACACTCACACTCAGCCACTTCAGACAAACAAGACCTGACCTACATTATTCAAGAGTCTCAAGCCACCCCCACACTCAAAGCGAGTAAAAGCATTATGGATTTTGTTAAGCTTGAAAAAGCGTCTTGTCTTTTGTAGGTTTAAGGAGATGCAGAGCTGTTCAAGTCTGTCATGTATACATCCAACATGTGAGTGGACATACAGAATGTAGAAGTATAAAGATATTTCTGACTAGGCCCATTCATTAGATAACACATTCTTCCACTTTCAGCAGTTTTTCCAACAGGGAAATGCACCAACAGTTTGGTAGTAGTGATCAGGCTCCCTCCCACATTTAGTTGGCCTTATGACACCCCAAAGCAATAATGTTCAATAATGCCTGTAGGTGTTTTTTGAATGGCTTTGACAGTACCAAAGCTCATTTAATATCATTGCTCCAAGCATAAATCTGACTTTTATATGAGCTGATATCAACATATTAACTAAGCTAAGTGGTTATGGATGGGTGACCCTTGATGTTGTCTAAGTGTGAGAGCAGACATGACACACAGTGAAAGAAAACCAACAGCCAAATTATGTAATATATTGTTGTAGACACAATGATGTTTTATGCAGAAAAATCATTCCAGAGCACAACAAACACAAGATACAGGATTCGACTTAATTCAGTTGGTGAACGCTGATTAGAAAGCCAGATATGCAGATATTTTTCTTTAGTTTGTTTCAGCTTTCAGCAGAAAGGGAGAAAAGAAAGAAATTCACTGAATAGCCCTTTTCCACCCAAACAATAAAAGAAGATGGGGGAAGTGAGGAGATAAATGAGACACACCTGTGAGCGGGGGGAAGGAAGGGGGAGAATCAACTAACAGAAGCAGCAGGGAGGAGAATGAGAGTGGCTAAAGGAGGAGATCACTGAAGTCTAATTCAGTTTCTGGACATCTTTGCTCAAAAGATAAACACACACACACACACAGACACGCATGCACACATACACCACATCTCTTTCACAAATAGGCTGACATTTATCTGGAGTCCTCATTTCATTTACTTACTTATGGGGCATTTGATTTTCATATCTGGACTCAGTATTGTGTTTCTCTTGATTTAATGGACCTTTTGTGTATAAGACTGTATTCGGGTACCATGATTAGTAATATTGGGGTTGAATACAGCAAGACTTAATTGATAAAAATGTATTCATTTTTTTGTAGTGGGGGTAGCAGGCTATCTCTCTAGTACTCTCTAACAGTTTCTTAAAGTGACAGGGTAGAAGTGTGATTATTCTTCTGTCTGGCACCCAACTCTTAATTTGAATATTTGGAATTAAAACCTACGCAAAAGCTCTTTTAAGGCTGATCGTAGTGTCTGTGAAACACCCACATGTGATGCTGTTTTCTGTCTTTTATTTTTTCTTCCTGCATTAAAATAACTAGATCAGACCCCGGGTTTGTTTACTATAGAAACCACAAGATGTAATCGAATAGGTTTGGGCCGGTGTAAACCTTTTCAAACCGACTGGACTGGTGTACTGAACTTTACCTCTTGGTGTTGCACTTGTCTCAGCAGGTGCTCCACCAAATTGTGGAGGAGCGGCTCATCACAAAAACGAGAATAGCTTATCCACCTTAAAGGTCAGTCCACCTTAAGTGAGCTTGAGCTGGACTTGCCCCTTCAATTTATCAGCAGGTAGAAAAAAGACACAGGCACTTGTCTTGTATCTTGAGGAGCTGTAGCATTTATTCACCAACAAATAAACTGTAGACACACTGCACTGCTATGTTCACAGCTGTAACTTACAGCTTACTTCATACTCAGGTCACAGACACACGCTCTCTGTAGACCGGACATTCGCCAACGTTACGGGCCGCAGGCTTGCAATGCACTGGCAGGAGGACCCGCCTTGTCTCGTTTCCCCAAAAAAGCCCACAAACTTTCAGTAAACAAACACGTGTGCCTCTTCCCACCTCGACTGAAATTTGATCTCCTTTATGTTGCCGGCTGTGACTCGGCAGTAAATTGCGGCCTGTCACACACTAGTGGCTCCATCGTCTAAAAAATGAACCTAATATTATTGTCATATTGCTTTTTACTAATGCAATACAAGCTGACGCAGTTAAAACATTTGAAAGGATTGTTTCAAATGTGAGCATGAAATGTGTGTGAAGTTGAAGTACCGAAAAGAAGTTGAATTGGCAGTTGAGGTGTAACTACTATCAGTACAAGCACTGAAAGAAGTTGAAGTGGAGGCTGAGGTGTAAGCACTGAAATGAGTTGAAATGGCAGTTGAGTGAATGAAGAAGCGGATATGGAGCTGAACATTTGAGGACTGGTTGTCACGATCAGGCTTTGCCTTCTGTGTTCTGTGTGTGTCTTTGTGTTGCTCGAACACCCTCCTCACTCTACCTGTCAGCCACTCCCTCAGCATCAGCCTAACTCCGTTCACCTGTTCAAGCCACTATACAAACCCCTGCCTCTCAGTCACTCACTGCCAGATCATTGTCATGTCTACCCGCCCGTTTGGCTCATCTTGTTCCTGGTTTCCCCGTCTGCCTGCCCTGCCTAATTCTGCTGGATTTTCCCCCTCGTCTCTTGTCTCGTCCATGGACTCCCTGTTGTGTTCTGTAAGTTTCCTGTTTTGATTTAACTACTCATTAAACACCTGCTTCACTCTACTTCTGGTCTGGCCTGCATTTGAGTCCTCCACCATGCCCCGTGACACTGGTTAAAGCTCTTTGGCTTGAATACTGGAATTATTCATTGCACTTGAATCATGAAACTAAAAATCTGAAAGGAAGTTTACGTGTGGTACCTTGTAAAGGTGTGAGGAAGAAGTTGCGTAAGAGTGGGTGTGCATAACTGAAGTGGGTACGCTATTACTGATGTCAGTTTGTGGTTCAGAGTGTCAGCAAATTCATAGCAAGCAGTTGTATGAAAGCAGGAAAAGTTGTAACTACCCCTCATGTCCTTCTTTGATGTAGGTAGAATATCCTGGGAGTTCATCTTATAACTGTCATTACTAAAATATATATTGAGATGCTTGATAAGTACAGATTGTGACCAGATAGTGTTATGGGTCCATAGAGACCTGGGCAAATGTTTTTGTGCTTTAATGACTTGTCTTAAATCCCAGGACCAGGGTGTTTATCATTTGGTGGAATGGAAGTGGTTTACTGGCCTGTGCCTTGCCCAAAAAGAGATCTGACCATGACAAGAACAACAGTACCTGGATAACCTTTTTCCCTGCTCTCTTCTCTGTGGTTCTTCTGCCCAGGTGATCCACTGGAATTCTCCCAAAAAGCTGCGGGTGAAGAACAAGCATGTCGAGTTTTTTCGGAATCTCTATCTAACCTTTCTGGAGTACGATGGCAACCTGCTGCGGCGAGAGCTGTTTGGCTGTCCCAGCGAGGCTGACCACAACAGTGAAAATGTAGGTGTAACCTCTTCTGTGTTTTTGCTTGTGATGTGTAACCTAAGGGGAAAAGTACATGCGCTAAATTTAAGGGAACGGGTGGGTCTGATATCTGACTGCCTAACATGTTTGAAACCACGACAACACGCTGAAAGGCTCTCCCTATTCCTCACTAAAATGATCAGATGTAAATGAAAACCACACAGTTAGTTGCACATAACACAATATATTAATGTAAATCAAATTAAATTCAGCATACGTTTCAGCGAACAAAAACACTGTAAGGCTCCCGCCGTACTCGACACAATAAACTAAACATTCACAAATTATAACTCAAACCCAGTGTCCCATCAGTCCCAAAGTTTCAAAATTCAACCCAAAACAGTCCGATGATAAATAAATCCCTGAGGCCGAAAACAAAATCAACAAGAGGTGGAAGCGACACCTGTCCATCACCATTGATGATACCGTGGTGACGCCAACTCGGACTGCGAGGAACCTGGGTGTGACCCTGGACGACCAACTGTCATTCTCAGCAAACATTGCATCAGTTACAGGCTCCTGCAGATTCCTGCTCTACAACATCAGGAGGATTTGCCCCTTCCTCACTGATGAGACGGCGCAGGTGCTAATCCAGGCTTTTGTCATCTCCCGCCTGGACTACTGCAACTCACTACTTGCCGGAGCCCGGCGTCGGCCATCAGACCTCTGGAGCTTGTCCAGAAAGCTGCAGCTCGCCTGGTGTTCAATCGCCCCAAGTTCTCCCACACAACTTCCCTTCTCCGTTCTCTACACTGGCTCCCTGTAAGAGCTTGCATCCAGTTTAAGACTCTGGCACTAGCCTACAGGGCAGTGAAAGGAACAGCTCCTTCCTATCTCCAGGCCATGGTCAAGCCCTACACCCCCGCCCGACCACTCTGCTGCCTCGGGTCAATTGGTTGCCCCGTCGCTCAGAGGTCCCTGCGGCCGATCGACCCGGTCACGGCTGTTTTCTGTCCTGGCCCCACAGTGGTGGAATGAACTCCCCACTGACGTCAGGACAGCAGAGTCGCTGCCCATCTTTCATCAGGCTGAAGACTCACCTCTTCAAGAAGTACTACCCTGAGCCTTCCACTTAGCACTTACTTAGCATTTATTGTATTCATACTAGTTTTTGCAGTTATTTTATTCGTATTAGTTTGTTTCTGTACTCTTGCTCTGGTTTATGCTCTTAGATGCTGGTTTAAAAAAGGAGATGCATTTATGACTTCTGGTGACTAGTAGTTCTCTTGAATACGTTGAATACACTTATTGTAAGTCGCTTTGGATAAAAGCGTCTGCTAAATGACTGTAATGTAATGAGACGCCGCTGTTCCAAAATCCATAGAACACACGCTATCTCACTACAGTCCATTTAGATGGTGGGTCTTTCTTGTAGTAGTCCAGTGAAGTTTTCCTGCTTTATAATCCAAAGGTTAATAATTCTACTCCTTTGCTGAGCAGTCACCAGAAAATCCTACTCTTTGAGCCCACTAAACGCCAACTGCTTCACCTGTGTGCGTGCTCCATACTCCTGTCACGTCACTTCCCCCCCCCTCACATTTTATACAAGTGAGGGAAATAATAGTAACAATAACAGTTTATGAATAGGGTCTTTTAACATTGCAGGCCACTGATAACATTTATAAGTAAAGCACTTTAAATATCCAAAGGAAAATAATCTCTGTTGTGTGAGACTTGCAAGGGAAAAATACAAAACAATTGTCCATGGGTGTCTTGGTACCTTGTGACGCCCAGTTGTTCTGTGAGCTTTCAAGTTTTACAATAGGCATGTAGAGCTACTGTGGGTGAGGATAACAGAACAATGAATATGTAACAATACTGAAAGAAATCTGTGTGTTATGCTATAGCTGAGGTTGCTTCCTAAAAAATATTACTACATGTATGGGCTGCAGACCACAAGAACTGTGTTTGGTCAGCCTGGTTTGCTTTGTTTTCTCCACGTTTCTGATGCTGGTGGAGATCGTTATTGAAGACTTTTTAAATCCAGCACTGAACTAATCAAAATCGATGTGGTATTCATCTGTAGCCAGGCTGCTGTTTACTCCCTGTATTAAGCCTGAACCCACTTGTGCATGTTAGCATGCTAACATTTTCTAATTTGCTTTAAAAGGAAGTTACTGTTGAGGTCAATACGAATGTTAGTTCTGCAGGTATTTGGTCACACACTAAAGCAGTGGTCGCCAAGCAGTGGTCGATCTCGGAGACTTTCCCTGTCGCTCTCCAAAATAAAATAAATTCAGAAACACATTGGGCCTCATTCTCAAACATTTTCTGAAGTGTCTTCTGAAATGTTTTCTTACGGACTTCGGAAGACCAACGTCAGAAAAGATCTCCGACTGATTCATGAACGCCTGAAAATGGGTTCTTACACAGCCGAAGTGTTCTCAGCTGTGTTCCCCCGAATGAGGATTCTTAAATTGAACGTGCATTCTCGTGCAACTGGATTTGCATACAGAAACGCCCCGCCAACTCCTTATAAGGGCATGCAACTGAAGAGAAGTGTGCACAATCGACAGACTCCACAGGCAACGCGAAAGCAACTTCAGACTAATTAAAATCATGTCAAAGCAGAAAGCGAGCACCAGTCGAGTAAACTGAGACCTAACTTCACCGGTGCAGATACTGTTGCAGAATGTAGATGTGTCCATTCTATTCCACTGTGGCTATATCCACGCGATTGAGTTTAGTGCTTATTTATTTATTCACTTACATTTGCAGTGTTCGTGCAGTGCTTTTGTTTATTTTATGATATCACGATGCCTCATAGAATCATGACTATAAATGTGAAACGTAATTGTTAATAATACAAATATTCTCGTATTTATTATTATAATTATTTCAATCTGAGGATGTCTGTAGAGTTGATGTGAACGTAATCACTAACTATTTCTCACAAATTCAGCCCTTCCCACTAAATGCCCCTTCTAACGCGGAGCGGCCCCGTGGGGCATCTAGTGGTTTTTTTGAGGAATTGCATTTAAGAAAACTCTGGGCGATTTACAACTGCTATTTAGCGTTCTGAAATTCTGGTCTAAGTTCAGAAGGAATCCCAGATGAGAGAACTTTCATGAATGCCAAATTTGTCCTGAAAACCGCGTAAGTGGAGTTCAGAAGAAATGTCTTCCTAAATTCTTCTTAACTGCATTCGAGAATGAGGCCCATTATGCCTGATTGACGTTCGCAAACGTCGTCACCATGGTGATAGCCTGGCGTTGTTGGCAGTTAGCGAACATGGCGGAGGCTCCACGAAAGAAGGCGAAAACCTACCATTTCCATCCAGAATGGGAGGAGGAATTTATTTTTTCCTTGGTAAAAGACAAGTGTGTGTGTGTGTATGTTGTGCCACCAGTCACAGGCACTGTCTAAGCGAGGGAATTTGGAGCGGCACCACAACACTAACCACCAGAAATTCAAAGACGGCTATCCACCAAAGAGCGCAATCCGTGCCAGGAAAGTACAAGAGCTGAAAGTGGAGTTGAAGGCTTAGCAGTCGCTTTTCACAAAACCCACTTCTCAAAATAAGGCTGCAACTGAAGCGTCATTTCGTGTTAGCCACCTTTTGACTTTTAACAAGCAATGGCCATCACCACAGAGACTGTTTGCAGCAACTTCAAAAACAAAGAGGACATAAAAGCCGCATTCCGTGCTATACCGCTTGGTCCTGTAACAGTGACACGAAGGGTTGAGTTACATTACAGTCATTTAACAGACGCTTTTATCCAAAGCTACTTACAATTCAGATTCTATCACATTTCTATACCATAGGCACAACTACGGGAGCAATTTGGGGTTAAGTGTCTTGCTCAAGGACACATCGACATGCGACTAGCAGAGCCGGAGCCGGGGATTGAACCGCCGACCCTCTGATTGAAAGACGGCCCTAACTTAGCCACAGTCGCCCACATTTACTGACAGTTACTGTCAGTTACTGTCAGAGGATGTTGGTCAACAGGTGTTGAAGGACTCTGTGAATATTTTTCACTGCAGTTTGATGAATCGCTGGATGTAATGGACACAGCTCAGCTTGTTGTATTTGTCAGAATGTTGTAAAGTCCTGGAAAGCCAAAGGAGGACTTCCTCACTCTTCTCCATTTAAAGCAGAGAACGAGAGGTGAGGATATTTACAATGTGTTTAAAAGCTATGTCCGTGAAAATAACATCCCCATTCATAAACTGGTGGCAATCACTACTGATGGGGCACCGGCAATGTGCGGTGTGCACGCTGGTTTCATAGCACTGTGCTGTAATGATCCGGATTTCCCCGACTTCATGAAGTATCACTATGTGATTCATCAGCAAGCCTTGGCTGGGAAAGTTGTGGACTTTTCTCATCTAATGACACTGGTGGTCAAAGTGGTAAATTCGAGCAAAAGCGCTTCAGCATCGCTTATTCAAGGCGTTATTGGATGAGCTCGATTCCGCGTATGGAGAACTGCTTCTGCATGCTGATGTCCGGTGGTTGAGTCACGGCAAAGTGCTGCAGCGATTTGTTGACTTGTTGCCTGAGATAAAGGCGTTTCTGTTGAAAAGGAACGAGGAGCACGAGGAACTATCAGATGATGCGTGGCTACTGGACCTGGGGTTTCTGACAGACCTAACGGCAAAACTGACCTCACTCATCAACGAGCTCCAGGGAAAAGACCGGCACCTGCCGCTCATGATAAGCTCAGTGAATGCGTTCAAGGCCAAACTGTGTCTGGACCACACATCTTAAGAAAGGGAGGCTGACACACTTTACCAACCTGGAGAAAATGTCACAGTCCATCAAAGACAATTATGATTTTCACCCTGAGCAGTACTGTGTGCACCTGGACAAACTGGCAGCAGAGTTCAGTCGACGTTTTGGTGAGTTAGACGTCATGGAGGATATTGCTGCATTTGTTTCAAACCCATTCCTGCCTATTGATACAGAGGAGGTTGCAGCCAAATTCCAGAAAGCATTTGCTTTGCCAGGTGGAGTGGACATGGAGATGGTT